CCTCCCCCCCTTACGTTCATGAACGCCTTCCTGGCCCCACAGGTGGCTCGGTGACCCCGGAGACGGTAGATGAACTCATGGCTTGCCCCGACATCGACGGCGCCCTCGTGGGAGGCGCCTCGCTAGTGGCAGAGAAGTTCGCGCGCATCGTCGGCTTCAAGTCCCCCGTCAGCGCCTAAAAATGACTTTACTGGCTGGCATGGTGATTGTTGCGAGGAAGGCATTCGTTTCGGAGGAAAGCCGTTCGAAGATATAGCTGATCGGAGAGAGATCTTTCGAAGAAACCTGATCGGTGGACCCGTCGCGGCCTATTTTTCGTTGAAGAAACTCTCCAAGGATTTTTGGGCTGGAAGGAGCCTCTAATCCGGAGAGTTGCACCAAAAGCTTCGGTGAATTCGTGGTGGAACAACAAAAGACCTGCTTGTTTTGTTCGCCAGCTGTGGGATCCCTCTCTGTCGAAGCAAAGCTAGTAGCTGTTGTGTGCACGCGCTTTTCCCGGCCGGGTAAACAACCGCTCGAACGAGCTGTCTTTGCGGGAGTCTTTGGTCGTTTTTTTTTTCGGAACCCTTGTCGCCCGTGGCGCTCGTAGGCATTGCGAGCGGCGTGCTGTGTCGTGCGCCCTGCCTGACCCTTACATGGGCCTGTCGCTTGTTTGCTCGGTCTACGGCATGCGTCCGGTCTCTCTTGTGGTTGGCCCCAATGTTGAGAAAGTTGGCGTGGTGAGTTCGGGGGTGGGGGGGGAGACATGCAGCTGTTAGAAAGTGAGGCAACCGATGTTGTGTTGGCGTTTTCGGGTTCGACTTCTGCCCTCTTCGGGCGTGTTGAGCGCTGTTAGATGGGAATGGGGAGGCGAGGGACTCCTATCCTTCCATCATATGCCCTACCCCTGCGCCCCCGGGCGCTCTGGCGGTTTTGACGATCATTGGCTCCGAATTCGCCGGCCGACATGAGCACGCGGGAAAAGTGAACATGAAATCAGATAGACAAAATCAGTCACCAACGCTGCATTCACGCAGGTTTTTGTGTGTTGGCATTTGAAAAAGGGCTTGTCTCCTCGCCGTCGTGGTGGCCTCATCACACTTGATCCCAGACTTATGTGTGGCGCCTCAGGGTTGGACGGATCGATCAGAAAACCGCGGTCCATTACTAGAGAGGAAGACCACGGTCCAAACGGTGGCTGCACTTGTTCGGTCGTGCCTGCCTGGCTGCCTCCTGGCGATCCCCCCCAGCAAGTACGTCTACTGCCGCAGATACTGCTGTGGGCTGTCAACCAACGCCAGTCGTCGGCGAGCAGTTTTAGAAGGATCGACAGTGGTCAAGTAAGTCTGGTTGTTGGCACTGGTCAGTTTGGCCGCACGGTAGAGAGAAGCACCCCTTGGTTCTACGCGAACGAGCGAGAACGAAGCTGAGGTACACGGCTCAGTACGTACGTAATGAATCGTCCCTCCCCACCCGCACAACAATAGCAGTAGTGGTGGCGCATTTTGGTGCGGTCGATGCAGTAAGCAACTTCCCCCCAGGGTGTAACGCCCGCCGTGGAGGCATTCCGATAGACGACTGGAACTCGTCATGTTTGCTGCCTGCGTGGTTTCAAGTTCACCCGTTTTTTGGCCCGTGCGCATGTCACGTGCACGCTACATTGTTCACGTTGCGAGGCACTGCAGTTTTTATGCGCTGCACGCATTGTGCGTGTTTCGAGGCACAGCGTACTGCTGTAAAATGTAGTCATCGGTATAGGCTTGTCTTCCCGAGAGCCATCTTGCGGAATAATTATCACGGCTGTTGCTTGTGACACAGAGGGAGCGGGAGCAGCGGCAGAGAGAGCATCGGGGAGTGCCGACGACACCATTGGGGGCCAGGCGCGTCTTCTCCATCTTTCTCCAAACGCACGGCCCTGCTGCTGTTGCTGCAGCTCTTTCCCTCTCTCTCTCCTCTGCAGCTGTTGCTGTGCCCGGAACCTCGGATCCCGCATAATCTGCCCGAACCAATGACGTGCCGCTTCGACTGCAATAATCGGCTCGTTTTGGCCAATCGTACTGCTACGATCACGCGCCAGCGACGCACACAGCACACAATCAACACGAAGGCCTCGGATACAAAACCCGTGTTCGTGTTAGGCCCGAGAAGGATGCCGGTCAGTAGCACCGGCAAGAGAATGGGTGCCACCCTGGCGTTGCTGGCGATCGGTGTTGGCGGCGCCGATGCTTTCGTCCTCCCAACAGCTTGGACAAAGACCAGGCAAGCAACAAAATCTGGTGCTTTCAGTACCAGGTCCATGGTCCTCTACATTGTGAAGTACAGCAGTTGGTCGACCGGGCAGCAGCGCTGGAGCTCAGCAGCGCCGGTAGAAGTGAATTACTCATCACCTTGCGGGCGTTGGTGAAGGCGTAACCCGTTTGTCCCCATCATGAGTTCTGGTATTCGTCCGATCTGCTGCTTTCTTTCAGCGCCAGGGAAGTTTCTTGCTATGTACTATCAAACATGCGTAGTCCTGATTGTAGGACATTCTTGGGCCGCGGCCGACGCACCACAAGAGCAGTCAGCCGTGGCAGCGACGGTACGCACTAACAAGGTTCCTCGGCAGTGGTGTTGATGGTTAATGGGCCCACCGAAGTCGAGGAGTCTCATCGTCGTGTACCTGCTAAGAGAGCGAGACGTACGCATGCCCGAAAGGTTGAAAGGGGAACAGCGGGTGTTTGCCGCGGGTCGTTGCTGCAGTCTACGTTACAACCCTCGAGAGCTGCAACATGTGGCACCGGATGAAACGGCGGACGGATCCGCTGCCATACCGTCCTTCATCTTGATCCTTTAAAAAAACTCACTGGTTGACATGCGATACCAACTCGGAGGGCGACACCTTGTTGCCCTGAAGGATTGCGGCCTCTGCTTGCTGTACAGCAGTGCTGCTGTGTAGTATCCTGCTTGAGATACCACTCACTCACCCTGCTGACCGACCGATTTTCAAGGCTCGATTGTATTCCTCCGCAACGAAGAGGACGCCAAATTCGAATGACACGTTACCCGAGAAACTCTCGATGAGACGGTTCGCTTGTTCCAACGCCACCGTTGTGGACACCTCAACTGCCTCACCTGCGGCATATTCGTGCTGGGAAGAACGGTCCGAGAGGGTGCGGTATCTTGCGCACCGTTCGGTGCATCAGTGTATCAGTACCTCGAGTCGTGTCTCGAACAAACACAAGGCAGTCGCACGCGGGTACAACACCTTCTTGATGCAGCTAGGCAGCTGAAAGCGGGCATAACACGTTCTTGATACAGCCGCGTCTCGGTCCGGATGGGTCACACGGTTCTGGTTTCCGCGATCCCCTCGCCCGTCAAAAGGACGAATGGTTTTCTGAACCCGCGACCAAAGGCGCCTTCCTCTTGCATACCTCTTCTCCCGAATCTTCCAATCAACCCGGCTCTGGTCTATGCCAGCCGTACACGGCGAACCCTTAAGGTGCCCCCATTTCTCTCCCAGCCAAAGGTCGCAATCCCTGGGCACGTCTTGCCTTGATATCCACAATAGCACCTGCACAGCAGGGCAGCGCCATATTTGACTTTCGTGTTCTGTTGCTTGCGCAGAAGGATCATTCTCTTATTTTTTGAGTAATGTGGAGTATGAAATAACGCAACAATAAAATAGAGCAAGTTAGGTTAGCTGTGAACCCATCGCGTCAGCGGAGGCTTCCTGGATTTCCACTTTTTCCCGAGCAACACACAGCGATTGTCTCCCGTGTGGGTAACAGGCTCATTTTCCAAATGGTAACGGAGTTCATTGCTGGTAACTTGTGGTGCGATCTCTGCAACAAACGCAGCGGCAAAAGCATATGTGGCACCACGCCGGCTAGGGATGTGTTGTCAATGGCTGCAGGAGGCGGGTCAGAGGGCGCCACAGCGACGCTTGAAACAGTCAAGAGCCTCAGCGATAAGGTACGAAGAGCTGCTATTGTTTTGCGGTGATGGTATATGCATACGTACTGCCGTATACAGCCTTAAAACGTTGCCCGGCTGTGCTCCGCTGCGGCTTGTGGCACGTGCTTGTTTGACATGGCTGGTACTGCTGTAGATCCTCGCCCCTTTTCCCGGGGTCCGTGCGACGACATTTTCCCACTTTATTGTTGTTTGTTGGCGGTATGGGTGTGTGATCACAAGTGCCAAGTGCTTCAATGAAGCTTGCTTTTTGAATGTGCCCTTGTTTTCCGTTGTTGTCCGGGTGTGCCCCGTGGACGTGTCGACCTTATTTTCAGCAATTGCCCGGTTGGGCGACCCCCCCTTTTCTCCGGAAAAGTATCAGGCAAGAAAGGGTTCCCGCGTCCTCCCTGAGCTCCTCCCGAATGCGACTCGTACACAACAGAATGGTGGCTTCCCCTAGACGGGAACCCGCGAAACTGCGAGGGGTACATGCCAGTGTCATCGCTATTTTCGTTTCCGCCGTCCTCTCCAGCGGCGTGCAAAAAGCCACATGTTGCTGTGCCTGTATCGACGTCGCAAGCAAAAAGCTGTTGTCGACGTCAGCGTTAGTCATAGGTGAACGCTGCAAATTTCCCCTGCTCTCCTCGCTGAACTCCGTCCGCCTCGGGTATGCAGGTTTCCAAGCTCCGAGAAGTGGTGGCCGGGGTGCAAGCGTCCCGCGGGCTTCCCTCTTCTGCTGCCGCGGTGCCAACACCTGCACCAGTAGCGGCGAGCGCTTCTGCTGCTGCTGCTGCTGCTGCTGCTGCTGCTGCTGCGGGAGGGGGTGTCAAGCCAAAGAGAAAAGCGAACGCGCTTGTGTGGGCCGGGGCGCCTTCGGAGGAGTTCATCGCGGGTGCCCATACTCGGTCTCTCGAGCGGGAGCCCTACTGGTGAGCGTTCTCGCTCCCGCGTGATGTTGTTTTTGTTTTTGGAGGCGGGCTGCGGATCAACTCCTGTGGGGGTGTTAAGAGGGTCTTCCTTCGTGGATGTGTTGGGGTGTTTAGGAGAGGGGGGAAGGCTGTCCAAGCAGCCAAGTGCTCAAGAAGGGTTCGACACCATCACCTCTCTCTCTCTCTCTCTCTCTCTCGCTCCCTCTCTGTGTGTGTGTGTTTGTCTGTGCCTCTTGCTCTGTGCCTCTCTCTCCCCCTCTCTGTTACTCTCTCTGTGTCTTTCTCTCTCCCCGGCCTCTTCCCGTCCCGTGCCGTTTTCAGGGATATGTCGGAGCTCCCGATGCACACGTTCAAGGCGAAGGCGCCATACACCGGGACCATCGAGACGGTAGAGAAGCTCGTACAGCCGGGGGCGTCAGGGGAGGTGCGCTTTGAGGCCAGGCCATTCCGTATGTTTCGCAAATCATACACTGCCTGTACTACTCTGGTAACTGTCCCGTGTCGCTGCTGATGGCACAGGAGAACGGAGTTTCCACGTTGGTTGATCTTTCTTGAAATTTTTCGGTGTTGATGGTGATACTAATCGTCATGCTTGTTGACAGGGCGTAGGTAGACCGCACCCAGCTCCGTTTCAAAATGCGCTGTGTCTTCATCCGCAACAAGCACCAACACACCAACATCAACATCAACGCCAACGTCAACGACAACAACCACAACTACAGGTGTTCCACGTGAAGCTGCGGCACGACGGGAACATGCCCTACTGGGAAGGGCAAAGCCTCGGCGTCACCCCCCCCGGGCTAGACGCCAAGGGCAAGCCTCACAAGGTGAAACGCTCAACCATTTGCCGATCAAACACAGAAAGAACAGACCATCTGTGTGCGTGAGAGAGCGCGAGCTAGCCGAAGACGGGGATAGTAGGGAGTCTTGCGTCGCGCGGTATCATCAACGTACCTATCTTCCGCATGAAACGTGTGGGCGAGAACACGGGCGATTCAACCTCTCTTGCGCTCGTCGGCATTTGTGTCGTGAGTTGCACGCAGGTAGGCAATTGACGCTAGACGCATTTTATTTGCGTGCGTAAACACGGTTTCGCAAAAGACAAGGCGAGGCTTTGAACGAAAAGTAAGACACCGGTAGTTATTGTGGGACCAAAATCAAGTTCTTACCAAACTTCAGGTGCGTCTTTCTTCGACAGTATGATTCAACGTGTGTAGCTAAAACACGGGTTTCCAGACCTCAAGGTTGGATGTTTCTGACGTTTACCGTACACGTGGGTGTGGCCAACAAACACGTTTTTTTTTTCCAAACGGCAGGTGAGGCTTTACTCGATCGCGTCGACGAGGTACGGCGACGACGGCGACGGGCGGACGGTGTCGTTGTGCGTCCGGAGGGCAACCGTGCTTGACCCGGAGACCGGAAAGGAGGACCCCGCCAAGGAGGTGAGAGAAGGCGGCCAGCATTAAGGAATTCCTTCCGAAGAGTTAAGACTTGTATTCTACGCGGAGCTGATCCTTAGATTGCGTCTCAAATCTCTCTGTGTCTGTGCCGGCTTTGATGCGGCGGTCCTGGAATTCCTCCCTCGTTTGCTTGAGCCAACCGATGGCCCTACGCCTG